ACATGGTACAGACTTTTAGGTCATGCATGTAGTCTTAAAGGGGTACTCCACCGATTTTTTGAGCTACCTCAACTAACTATATTTTCTGACTCCCCGGCCTTTACTCTCTCCGGTATGCTATTTAGAATCGCGAAATTCATAACAGTTATTGCGAAATCGGCAAATGAAAATGATGCAAAAACCAACATTCAAATATACGCGCGCTTTTCAGGGCCGTGACGTCAGTGGCAGGCAGGCTTGCCAGTCGAGCAAGCAGCCGAAAAATAGAATATGCCGATCATTTGCTCCGTGCTGGAGCGCGGGTACTGCAGCGAGCTTCCCAAGCATTCATTTGACACCATGAAACTGCTTCGAATCAGTTTAAAACAAAATCTACAGCCCAAAGAGTGAACCCCTGCCTTCCACTGACGTCACTTTTTCACTGTTGCCAGTAGAGACTTCGAGCTTGAAAAACACGGTGAGGACCAAAACTGTAAATTCAATAACTTCGCGAAAAAACAATATTTTGACCTAATATTTGGGATACTATTTTCGCGATGGTTGTTGGTTAGTTTAGCAAAATTTCAAGCAAATCGGAGACGATGAAAAAATCGGTGGAGTAGCCCTTTTTTAAAGGGCAACTCCGCTTGATTTCAAAAATTTCGAGATAGTGGCCGATTTTGCTTTTTGAAGCACTCAAAAACAATCCCCAATCTTTTGTTTCGCGAAAAATAAAATATTTTTCGTGTAATTTTACTCTAGCCATGATCACAAACCGAAACCGAAACGGTGGCAAAGCCGGACAACATTGTATATTCGGCATCACTAAGCATGTACACCCACGTGATATACAAGGGGAAGAAGGAGCTCCCCTCTTATCAGGATCCTCCTTTGTGCCTCCTGGATTAGCACAGGCGTCGCTATTCTCCTCCCAGAAGATTATAGAAGATTAACCTGTCACTCAAAATTCTTACAAAAGCAGCTTCCCTCTCTTCCTTTTACTTGGTGTTCAAAAGTATGCGATGTAACACAAGCCGCGCTCAACGAGGCGATCGGCCTATCAGTAGTATCAATAGTCGAGCGCCGGGCCGGCCGAGCGCGTCACTCACGTCTTTCACGGCGCTGGCGCCACCCGTGCTCTCCCCGGGAAAGAAAACAAAATTGAAAAAAAAAAAAAGAAAGAAGCTGTACATGTTTGATGACGTCGCGGACGTGCCGGAAGAAGGAATTTGGAGGAAGCGGAAATGCAGCCGGGCAGTGTTGTCTGGCCCGCACGTCTCATCCAAAACCAGCGGATTCGTGCTTGTCAAACTTTGACAGCGATTTTAATGAACTTCTAGGCGGAATTCCGTCGTAATATTTGCCATGGGGGTTTTGTAGATGATAACAAAGAGAACTGTATAGTTTTGCACTACTGGAAAAGAAGCGGAGTTGCCCTTTAAACAGAGTATGTCAAGTGTTTTTTGCGTGCTTCTCAGTGAATCAGTTACCAAACATTCTTTTCCCACCATCAAACGTCTTGTAATCAGTTGGGAACATGGCTTACTGCCCACTTTGTACCATTTCTGTCGTCACACTTCAATGTTGCCAGTAGGGGCTCCCGGTTTGAGAAACACAATGAAAACAAAATTCGAAAATTCAATAACTTAGCGAATTTTTTTTATTTTCACACAATACTTGGGGAACTCCTAGAGCCATGTCTATCGATGTGTTGAGCCAATTTTGAAGCAAATCAGGAACCATGAAAAAACCGCCAGAGTATCCCTGCAAAGAAGAAAAAAAAGTTTTTTTTTAAACAGTCAGGTTGAGACACGTGTTTCAAAAACTAAATTTTTATGCGAAGAAAAAAAAAATTTAGAGCAATATTGACGCCGCGAGATTTATTTTAAATTCTGCGCGCAAAGTCCATGACGTCACGGAATGGCCATACGCTCTTTCCCCCTCAACGAAATGGTCATACACCCTGTCCACCTCAACGTGATGGCCACGCCGATTCACCTCTCCAACCACGCACCCGAAACACCGAGAGAGAAAACAAGTGGAAGAGAGGTGACTGCCGACTAAATCGCTTCTCGCGCCAACAATATTGCTCAAACAAATTTTTTTGAATGTAATATTTATTTTTTGACACGTGTGTCCCAACCAGGCTGTTTAAATTTTTTTTTTTTTTCTGGCTAGAGATTTAATTTTTGAATTACTCATGTGATAGGAATGAAATTTGCAGGGGAGATTTACATTCTATGTAGATGTATAGCGCTAACTTTTAGCTCTCTTGGACAGTTTTACTTACCTGCAGAACATGTGTCACTATTTTTTAAGAAATTTGATATGTAAATGGAGCTATTAAAGGGACACTGACATGCCCCCAATTTTTTTTTTCATTTTTTGCCAGGCGATTTATTATGGTGTCGGAAGACTACCCAATTAATATTTTGCTACAGAGTCACATATTTTTAACAAAGCCAAAAAACGCAACTGTTCAAAACCGAAACCGAAACCCGCGCACGGAGGTCGGAGAAGTATGGAAGATGAGACAGTGCCGGAAATCAGGTGGCTATACCCGACAGTGCACATTTTTTTTTCCGTCCGCTTTTTTTTGGTTGCGCGCGACAGACGACAGACGTTGCGGCAATCGTTTGCCATGCGATTCCTTTGCAGTTATGTTTGTCCCGCTCGCTGTTCTGCACTTGATGAGCTGTTTTGTACATTAAAGAGTTGGAAATGAGTAGTGAATGCCCGTGGTAAATACCCGTAATCGGCTCCGAAAAAGATGCCCCCAAGATGTTGCGTGAACAGCTGCCTCACAGGTTCTGCATCTGAAAGTGGCATTCTGCGGCAGAGTCTGCACAAGTTTCCGAAAGATCAACGGGATCGGGACCAATGGCTGGCTACAATTCCTGTAGAACAGTTATGGGCACCTCAAAAAGCGGACGCTAAAAGATTCATATGCTCCTTGCATTTTGTGGAAAGTGACTACATTAAGTTCGCAGGTGTCAAAAAGGGAATTCCATATCATTTTGTACAGCGACGTATCGTCCACAACATGTTTTTTTCAGTGATAATTGTATAAAAAGAAATTGGGCAGCAACACACATTGGCCACATTCGCACCTATTAAATAAATCGTATGCGTGCATATTCAACTTGAAGTACACACTTCGTGCTTGACGTTTGCATGAGCGATGTCTTCAACCGCAAGAAGGGGCGACAACTCTGCGACGTCTTCGTGCAAATCGGCTTGGTGGTCGGGCATGCTGTAGGGGATGAATACCCATTCTTTTGATTGGTCCAAAATTTCTCTTTCGAAGGAAGACGAAGACAGATTCGCCGATACTGCGAACGACAGTTCTGAAGTAGAGGTCCGTCGTCCGCTGCCATTGCCGTCCAGCCCACGAGTCCCATGATACACGATACGACGCCATGTTGAGGATTACGCAGTGAACGCACAGAATGCTTCCGGTTCTTTGTGCAACCCTTTTTTCAATCAACGTATTTGCAGCTTTTTTGGAAGTCACAAAAAATGGGTTTCATATTTTTTTTCTGTTTTTAATATTGAGTGCGTGCCTTCAATGACCCACGACTTTGATTAAATTTGGTGGTTGTGTCTAAATCTCAGAAAACGGCCCGTGACCACGGAGAAGAGAGTGAGTGCGGCTCAAACCAGCCAGTTCTCGATCGGCAGTTTTCGTGCAAAAAGAAACTGAATTTCGAGCCGCAGGTTTGTTTTGGGTAGTTAGGCTCTCTCATATGCAGACTTGTACATAACGCTTTACAAGTAATGGATTATTTGTAATCGATTACATTTTGCTGTAATTTTGTAACGCTTCAATTACTTCCTTTGAGGAGTAACGATCCTTGTAATTGAATTACTTTTTTTCTGTAATCGATTACAAAATTACCCAATACAATTTTTCTCTTTCTCTTTCAATCAGCTCTGGGCAACGGTCCATTTTGTTTTCTTTTTCGAAACCGTTAAGCACCGGACCTGGAGAATTAGTAGGCCACTTCACTATACTTCGTTCCCTGGGCACATTTTTTTTTTGATACACAGGAGATTACGTCCAGGTATGAAAAATGACCTTATCCAGCCTCTTGTGAGTAATGTATTTAAACCATTTAAACAGCGCTCGTTTTATTCATTTGTGTTTTCACGAGAGGATTTGGGTGTGTTCGCGTCACTCACTTACTGTAAGCAAAAACGGTCAAGACTTTCTTTCTTTTTTTTTTTCTTTTTTTTTTTGAACAACTGTAATAAAACCTACTGTAATAAAAAAAGTTGAATGAAAAGTAACGTCGGAAGTAATCAATTACTTTAGAGTAATTTTTTGATTACTTTTTTGAGGCTGTAATTGTAATTGTAATCAGTTACTTTTTACAGTGAAGTAATTGTAATTCTAATCGGTTACATTTTTTCAGTAATGTGTACAAGTCTGCTCATATGTCATGTATAACTAAAAACCTTGGCAAGCATAAATACTCCGTCAGTGTACCTTTAAGCACCATTTCGACTGCTTGAATATAAAATGGGGGATAGGGGGCTTTGGGCTCTCTAGTTCTTTTAACTCTGATGTGAACATTTCAGGAAGTGTTATTACCTCAAAATATGAGATGCATATCTGTACTAGGTCAATTTTTGTAAACATAGTTTTCTTTTCGCAATGAGGAGTTCAACTGAAAACAAAATAAAGGAGGTAGTCTGATTTCCTAGTAAATTTTAGTTCCGAAACATTTCGTTTGTGGTATCAGAATACTTTTACCTTCGAACAAAAGTTTCCTTCATATGAAATTTGCAGCAAAAAGTGGAACTGAGGAAAATGATTTCAAAAATTGAACTCTTTTACTTTGTTACTGCCTTACAATGTGTTGAAAAATATTGTATATCAACATAAGTATTTGGTGTATGGTTCTCAAGTTTAGTGTAAGGTTGTATAATTAGTTTCTAAAACTGAACACCTCAAATATAAAAAAATTAATTTTTTTTTTTAAATTTTTAAAGTGGAGATTTTGGCCCAGTTGGTTCATTGCAAACAAAAAGCGCCGAAAGAATACAGGAACACAGACGAAGGGAAGGGACACAGCGCCTTGTCCTGTTTTCCTTCGTCTGTGTCTCTTTATTTTTTTGGCGCTTTTTGTTTGAAATTTTTTAACTTGCATAAATTATTGCCTCCCCCCTTAATGCTAGCTACCCAATGTAGGCCCTTGTCCCCCCTTAATGCTACCCGATGTAGAAGTAGATGGTTTATGTCACTGGTAAGTCGCCTCTGGGCATTTTTGTTGGAGACAGGAAGAGCTACAAGCTTCTGTGCAGTACAAGAGCATTGGCCACTGGACAGTGTAGAGTCTTCATTTCACAGTTTCCACCATTACAAAAAGACTGCACCTCCTTGCTGCAAGGAACTCCAAAACTCCAACCGTGTCCTGCACACCGCATATGGTTAGATTAGCTTTTGTCGTAACTGTGAGATACCGGTCAGTGATAAGTCCCCTTTGTGAATCATTCAAAATTAGAAAAGAAACTGGAGTGGCCCCTCGTTGTGGTTGCTGACCAGTATTTTTACAGTGACTAGTGTAAAGTATCCAGTATTTTTGTTTTGTCATGTGCTTCGAGCATTCTGTAGTGTAATGCTAGCACACAGTGGTGCGCTATGACACCACTTTGATTTTAAGATACTAAATCTGAATTGACTGACATTCTACCGTCGAGTGGTTTTGGGATCATCAGTTTTGTCTGAAAACACAGTACCCTAGTTAATTATAATTATAAAATTAGATTTTAGGAGATTACTTAAACACCCTTTAATTTTTATGAGAGTTTCGATGAACAGGTTTAGATACATTGTTTCTCTTTTTTCAAAACAATGCAAGAATTATTATTGAACAGTTGAAACATAATTAACTGGCAAATTGTTTCTCATCAGAATTGGCTGAGTGGTCTTGCATCAGTTTGAATATGTCATTCATTGTGCAGTAACAGTATCCTCCAGTTGGCACAAACTGTGACCTGGGTATTTTATTTTCAGGCACTGGGCCTTCAGAGGGATGACACATTTTCTACAACGATGCTTTCCCAAGTCATTGAGCACCTGATGAATGAACTTCCACCTTACCAAGGTAATAAAGAGCACCCCCTTATCTTCACAGTGTTTCCATGAACCATTGTGGCACTTCCCTAAAGGGGAGCATGTCGATACTTTCTTTTATAAGTGTGCTCTTGCACTTCGTGGAAACTCTATAAAGCCAGCGTTTCTCCAACAACCTCTTGAGTGTAAGAAATTTGTATAAAAACATGGGGGGGGGTTCCTAAAAATTTTTGTAACTACAACTTTTAACCTGCATTTTTCACTTCAAATCAGAAAGGTTATAAGTAGAGCCCTGCACGGATAACAGTATGATCATCCACATCCGATCTGCATCTGCAGACTTCATATCCGCATCCGAACCGCATCCGCAATATTCTTTAATAATTGTATCTGCATCTGATCAGCATCTGCAGACTTTGTATCCGCATCCGAACCGCGTCTGCAAAATTCGGAACTGCATCCCACCCTCAATCCGTGCATTAATTTTACATCATGAAATCAAACATGAATAATGGAAAAAGGAAAGCATCTAGATGGCATTTCATAAGCCGTTTGCTTACTTATGAACAACAAACTCTTCGTGTAAGAATACGGTGTAAGTCATTTTATCGTATTTATAAAATAAGTGATCATCCTTTCAGAGACACTCCACATCACTGGAAAGATGATTGCAGTTATGAGATCATCTTGAGAATCCGTGATACTGACACCCTGTCCAGGAGATGCGCTCAAAAGGAAGGAACATTTAATGCTTATTTTCCTTTTTGCTTCGTAAAACACACTTCAAGCAGACAGCTATTTTCTAAACATGAAAGTTAGCAAATGACAGACTAATAACATTGGGTCATTTTATTTAGACTAAACAAAAAAGAGTGGGAGAGGAAAGGCACTCACTTCCTGCAGCAAAATACTTGTGTATAGGTGTGTGGTAAGGCTCGAGTACACTACAGGGAAAATATCACAATATTCAATAGTGGCAACACCTCCTGCCCGTTTCAGTTTTAAACACGAACCCTCAACTGCGTGCTCGGAACCATATACTTAGAAACCACTCAGTATTAATATCGAGAAAAACAAAACACACACACGCTTGTCAAGGTTGCTGTTAGAAGAAACAGAATATTGTAGACATGGATGGATTCCGACTGGTTTGTCTCTCTTACATGAGTACCCACTAATGAGAGGTCTATCTGCATTGATGCACCTTATGCTAGGATGGCATACAGGAACTGTGCTACAAGAATGAGGTGCGGAAACTCGTGCTGGCGCAACTTCGACCACTCCAGAGGATCAAATTATGTCTCCTCAATCAACCTGTAGGCGAAGAAGCCACTTGCAGGCTTCTGCTTTTTTCGTGGCTTGTGCGTTTTGGGTTTTTTTTGATTGAAGGATGTTTAACTTTTCCACTCTTTTCCTGCCAAACAATAACACGCTTTCCCAAGACAACTGATGCTCCTGCAGTTTTTACTTTTTTCTAAGCACAGCATTTTTGGCGAGATAGAATGTTCTAAAGCGATCTTTGCCAAGAATCAGATCTACATTGACGTAAAGAACAAATTTCTCCCCAATTGGCATTTTTTATCTTAGGGAGTAGTTTGCTCCCGCAATACATTCGGTGATGCACTTCATAGTATCAACTCACTTATTCGCTTTACACTGTGCAGTCGCGCACGTTTATGGGCTTCCTCGGCAAGAATGTAGATCTGGACCCTCAGATATCTGCCTCCAACCCACATCCACAGCCCCTGGCATCCGCATCCGATCCGCAATCCACCCAATCTGATTAATTTTTATCTGCATCCACCAGTTTACTCCGGATATCCGTGGATATAAAGGGCTCTAGTTACAAGTAGTTATTGCTATGACATTGACTCTGAATGCTTGTTGCGAGAAACTCTCCTCCAGTAAACCTTGTGCCAAAAATGTTTGTCACAGCCATCAACCCTTGTCTTTGTGTTCAATACTATTACACTGAACATACCACTTTCCTTATTCTCTTCGCAATCTTATGACTGTGGGACACTATCAGTATGCCATCAAATCTGCTTTTGCTGGGCAAAAATCTTGACTACAAGTGTTGTCTGTTCTTTTAGCAGTGTAACTTATGGTAAGGATGTAGTGGGGATGCGATGATAAAATGTGAAAGCTACGGTTAACTTTTTTTTAATTTATGCAATTTTTTGGGGGCATGACATTAATTTTGGCTGGCAATTTGCTCGTATTTTATTCTGCTAGTTACATAAACAGAGAAGTTAATTTGTATCTTTTGGATACATGGTTTTTTTTGCTTGATAACTAGTCCTGCTGTGCTAAACACTAAGACAGCACTACAGTGGCTGGCACAGATAGAATTTGTTGGCTATTAGAGCAAGGTCAGAATGCATTGTGATTTGAGGCCAGTGACAAACCCCCCCAGATGGTTCCACATCTGACCGGTTAATTGACCGAAAAAACTAGTCACTGATTTAAGGCATATTAATCAGTTAATTGTTAGGTTAGTCTTAATTTCACAGTCCTAATTAGAAGCCATGCTTTGTTTACTAAGCGTTTCTTCTTTTTTTGAAGGTGTGCCCGACGTCCTACCGGAGTACTTTTCTTCTGAGAGTCAAAAAAGCTCAGCTCTCGATATGGATCTGACAACTTCCCAGACGCAGGAGTTTGAAATGGAAGGCAATGAATAAAGCTAGCCTAGCTCAAGTGCCATTGAACATTGCTCTTGTCAATATACAAAATAATGCCCTCCCCCCCCCCCCCCACCCACCTACCAACCAAAAAAGAAATGTACACTATCTTTTTTACTGCGAAGACAAACTATGCATTGCTATACCAGTAAGTCTGGGAATCATTGCGATGTTAATAACTTTCGCCCAGTGCCCATTCTTTGTGACTTTTCGAAGGTTCTTGAAATGGTGGTTTATGAATGATTGTATTCCCATTTTAAGCAAACAATTTCACATTTACAACGCGAATTTCTAAGAGTCGAAACAAATTGGGCCTCTTTCCTCGGATAAAGTCGACCTGTGGCTTTAACCGGGGTCAGTTAAACACGGTTTATTTTGACATCACCAAGGCATTTGATAAGGTTGACCACCAAATGCGTTTGTCGAAATTTAAAAATTATGGATTATGCCCATTGTATTGAGTTACTTGAGAAATCGGATAAGTCACGTTAGAATATCTAACAAACAAATATCCGAGCTATTTGCATCGTCATCTGACTCATAGGCGTTGACTACCGGGGGGGGGGGGGGGAACTTTTATTGCAATTTTTTCGAAGGAACAAAGCCGCCTTCCCCCCCTCCTCCCCCCTCTTCGGGAGCTCCTCGGGGGAAAGGAAGTACACTTGCCTCCAGGACCTACGTGTCATTCACCTCATGCGCTCATGCGTGCCGTGGCGGGTGGTTGCGAGTATCGACAGTTGTCGGCCCTGGGTCAGAGCAACGAGAAAAATGAACTGCAAACGCTTCACAAAAATTACTATGCCAAACATTCTAAGAAACTCAATTCCAGGCAATAAAAAGGAAACAAGCCTGCAGCCGACAGGAAATACGTAGTAAAAGACTCCCTCGGCGACGGACAGTCGTTAGGGCGGTTAAGGCGATCTTGGCCTACAGAATGAACAGAAAAAGGAGCTCGGTCACCTTCCAGTTGTGGTGTCGGAAGCAGAGCGAAAGCAGAAGCAAGACGCAGGGACGGATAAAAAAAAGGTCCTCTCACTCGCAGAAGTGGCAGCAGCGAAATGCCTTTTTTGACGTTCAAGGCCGCTTTAAAAAATGCCTCCGACAAATTGTAAAAAAAAAAAAAAAAAAAAAAAAAAACAACGTTTGTAAGACGACGGAAAAACGAACATAAAAGACAAAGGAACGTCTACGTCTTGTCGGCGATGTGTTGTTTAATGGCTGCAACAGGCGGCAAAATTCGAAGGCGCCACCAGACACGACCGAGAAAGCGAAGAAGCTTCAGCGACTGACGACCGCGGACCTAAAGGGCTGTTTATACTCCAACGTCGACGAACGCAACGCGCGCCGGCGCAGACCGACGTTCGTCGGCCACTACGTTGCGCCGAGAAGCGCCCGAACGATGGTGTTTACAATCCAGCGCAGACCAACGCTGGTCCAGCGCGCCCCGACGAACTGCCCTACTTTACGCATGCGCGTCTCCGTGGCAACCGCATCGTCTCTACGTACACAATGGGCAGTAGCTTGCGCCATCTAGTCTCGAGGCAATCGCTCAGTGTGGTTCGCCCTCGTGTTGTCATGTCACGCTTCAAAACAACCATTCGGGGTAGCGGTTAGCAATTCAAAAACAAGCAAATGATGGTGATAACGAGTGAAAACCAGCATTTATTTTCTCCTAAATGCCACACAAATGTAAACGTAAAAACAAAAAAACAAAAAAAAAAAGAAAGAAAAAGCCCGATAACGTTTGAATTTAGCTGCTTGCAGATTCACCGGAATCCTGCCAAGCGACTCCGGCGATTTCGCCGGAATGCTTCAATGAAATCTATGCACTCGATATTCCACAGAAACCTCTTTCTGACAGGTAGCCGGTATGTTATCATCATAGCAGTCTTTCAGGCTGACTTAAGAAACGGACACCGAAGAGAGCGGACGATGCCTAAATTACGCAATGTACGCGTTCGAAATTGTAACGCACTTTACAAAGCCTATACAAACAATACAGGATTCAGTCGTCGCTACTATCGTTTACAAGCTGAGACCATTTACAAGCTGGGACAGCCCAACTGAAAATTTCTGGCCGGCTAAATAGTTCAGAGGTTTCCGTGACCGCCGTTCCCGTACGTTCGACGACGCTTTTTCGATCGGGGACGACTGCCGGTAAGTGCGACTGGCACATGATAATAGGGAGTTTTAGAATAGCGCACGCTAAAACTTTGCGTACGCAAAGAATAGCGTCGTCGCCACTGCGCATGCTCCGAGCGCAAACCACGTTTTGCGCTTTGCGTGCGCAAATTTAGCGTGCGCTATTTCTCGGAAATAGCGTGCGTACGCAAAGAGTCTTTGCGCTTCTCCTAGGAGGATTCGTGATGAGAATTTGGCTAAATCCAAGACGAGCACAGTTAAAAAAACATGGCGGCTTCCAAAATTATGTCGGCGGCTGCTTTGGCGGCGTCGTGAGTGCGACGTCGGCGGTATCCTCGCGACTGCAATTTTCAATACGGGACGACATTGTACTCGGTTTGGCAGCGATTACCGACAACTTGATGCTTGCGACGCGCGAACATTTCACGGCGAAGGTATGATGTGCGAAGGTCAGTACACGAGACCTCTCTTGCCGAGGCGACGCAAGCGGACACGACCGCTCAACCGCTCACGTCGCGTTTTTTAAACGAATTAAAATGCTACTCTGAACCAAAAAACTCGTTTTTTTTTCTAAAGTTACAGAATTTCGTGTGTAAAATAAAAATTTTTACTGTATCTTGGTGGCGTCGCAAGCGCGAGATGCTTGGGCTTTTGCGTCGCGGCGGAGAAACGCTATTCTAAAACTCTCTTGCGTCGCGTGCGCTAATACAAGCGCTAAATTTAGCGCTAGCGTGCGCTAAAATTGCGTACGTTATTCTAAAACTCCCTAATAAATAGCACACAGATTAGGTCATCCTTAATTCTAATTAACCCTACCTCTGGCGCGTCATCGAGCTTCCAGCTTCTGCCGGCACCCCAACACCACGGCCCGCCACCACCGGCTCGTTAGGTCGATAGGCCTATCGAGAATCGAAGGTAGCGCATCCTCGGAACGGTCCACGTCCACGAACGTTAAATACGCACACCAACACGGGAACACGACAACAGCACACGACACACGGCACGAACGACAGGTTCAGATCCCAGAAATGAGCATCTCGCACCACACTTCGACTGCCCTGACGACACCGCCTACCGGATTCCCGAAGGAGGCATCCGCATCCGCCTGAGGGCTCCTGGGATAGCCTGCGTAGGCGGCGCCGACGTCCAACTGGTCCAACGTCGAACGTAGAGCATGTCCAAGTCCGTCGCAAGCTACAACGTCGCGCGTCGAGCTGCTCAGCGCGGCGCCGCGTTCAACTTGACGTTGGAGTATAGACCCCCCGTTCGCAGACAGCGTCAGCGAGTGTGAACGAGCGCGTGCGCTCGTTGACGTTACGACGGAGTATAAACAGCCCTTTAAGAGTCGCCTGACCGCCAGGTTACCTACCGAGCGCCTGCCCGGTTGCAGGGTAGCTCTCTATTTGGGTGTTGCCTCAACATTACGAGGGGGTGATAAGGAGGACAAGAGGAGAGATCTTTCCGTTTTTCCTTAGGGGAGAGCCAAACTAGCATCAAGCAAGCCTCATATTATTTTTCTTTTTGTTTTGTTTAATCAATCCTTCCTTCTGTCTTGAATACTCTCACTGTCTTCGTTTCCTTCAACTTGGACATTCGAGACACGAAGGAGTAAGGTAGGACCTCGCATGTTAATACGGTTCCAGCAATATCACAAACAGAACGATAGTAATTATACTACTTAGTACCAGGACGGAGTAATATGCATAGAGTAATCTTTGCGATCAAAACTAACAAGATGACAAATATGAATTAGGCATACTCGAATATTTATTCGGCTGGTCTTGTATCTAGAGCATGATTCTCATTGCCATTTTGCACTGCGAAGGGATTTATTGCGAATAATCATTCGCTAGACGAAATCGCATTTGTAACTTGGTAATGCGTCTTTCCGGGGTAAGTTGGGGGGAAGGGGGGGGGGGGGGGGGGGGGGGGGGGGGGCTCCGTTGAGTCTTCCCCTTGCCTTTGGGAAATTGAAAACTTTTCGCCTCTCTTGTTTTTTGGTGTTTGTTAATAATTTATCGTTCTGTATTGAAATCTCAGAAATACTAATGTTCGCCGATGATTTAAAATTGTTCCGTAAGTTTGAAACTGTGAAATATTGTATTCAAATTCAAAATGACATCCGCTTCGTTGAGCAATCGTATTTGATAAATAGACTCTACAATTGAACCTAGAATTGACGGTAGTAATGTCCCTTACTAAGAAGAGAGAGAGCATGGTTTCTTACTTGCACTGTTCGATGGACAGATCGGCGAGAGCTTCATGTGCGTGATCGTGGTGTTTTTGTAGATTCCGGTTTAAAACTGTGCATGGGATGTTTCTCGGATTTTGATGAGGGACTGCGCTCTCTGGGTGCAGTTTTCCGAATGACGAGAAAATATCTTCACTTTGAGTGTTTGTCAAGCCTGTATCGTGCACTTGTAAGATCGCGTCTTGAGTTCGCGTCTGTGGTATGGAACTCTTTCGCGGTGTCGCAAAGCAACCTAATTAGTCTCCAGCGCAAGTGTATACGACTTTTGTACAATAGGCACATTGGCCGCCGTCGTTTTTACAGCAATAATTGTTTCCTTGTTGACCTCGGTATGGTGCCCCTACGTGATAGAAGACGTACAAAAGACATGCATTTCCTGCACGAAGTTGTGCGTGGTTGTCTTGATTAAACGCAGTTCCCTAGTAAAATATTTTATATGTATAATAAATTTCTTCGTACAATAAACGCATATGATCAAATAAGATCTCATAAGAGCATACAAAAACCGCATAAGAACATATAAGAGCAAGTGATGCACTATAAGTACCTCGGAGTTTTCCTAAGCAGTAATCTTTCTTGGAAACATCATGTTAACCATATATCAGCCAAAGCTAACAAATCACTCG